AGAATCATACATACATACAAACCACACATGCATATAGCCGTTAAAGTGAAATCAAGATTTTTCTAAAATATATAGAATTTGTGTCAGTTATTCTTAAAACTCACCATAGCTCTCTCTCTTTTAAACTAGATGGCAAAGAAATAAAATAGGTGATGAAGAGAGAGAGAGGGAAAAAAGGTGAGAGTGTCCAGTCAGCAGGTCAGGAGGACTAATCTCCTTAGACAGGTGAGACAACAGTAAGCTGCTCAGGGACTCAACTGTAATGTATTTTCCACCTGTGTGGTTATCAAAGACTATTTTTTAGGATTTACTAGGCTTTAGGTCCACATCGACAGACAATAAATGAAAAAGATAAAAAAAAGTTAGGCAAGAAGTTAGTAATCTTATTAAATAACATAGACCCACATACCCAGCACTCAGGATCTCAGCCACATATATACAGGCTGTATTCGATCAAAAGGGTGCTTCTACTAAATACTGAGCAAAGGGTCTGAATACTTAGGACCATGTGATATTTCAGTTTTTCTTTTTTAATAAATCTGCAAAAATGTCAACAATTCTGTGTTTTTCTGTCAATATGGGGTGCTGTGTGTACATTAATGAGGAAAAAAAATTAACTTAAATGATTTTAGCAAATGGCTGCAATATAACAAAGAGTGAAAAATTTAAGGGGGTCTGAATACTTTCCGCACCCACTGTATATATATATATATATATGTTTATATAATTTCCCTCTTGCCCTATATGCATCTTCACAATAGTATCTCTCAGCTAAATCTGTTGTAATTTATACTATTTATGTCAATATGATTGTTCGTAATGTTATCAACAAGTTGTTTTAGGGGAAAAAATCTCAGTTCAGTCTCAGATAACATTATCAAGTTCAGAAGGAACAAGTACAAGTCTTTTAACGTCATCCTTTGGGAAATAACAAGAACATAAATAGAACAGAATCATTAATAATCTACAGGAAAATAAGCAGTGCTGTTTCCTGAATGTTATGATCTGATGGTTTTTAATATGCACATTTTGGAAAAGATGTCACTATTAAATTATTTTTAGTTGAACAAAATTAATGTTTTCTTTGTTTCCTTAAAATTTTCTAGAAAACATATTCTGTCATAAAGCATGGCTCTTTATCCCAGAACAAGCAGTTTGTTTAAAATGACAAAGGGTTCAGTTATTACCAAAATAATATAGTTTACTGTTTTTCAAAAATAGATTTTTGCCAGAGGTGAGTGGGTAAAGGGTATGGGAATTGAAATACCTGATGAAACACGGGATGAGGCTCTGAGTAGAGTAAATGGATCAACATCTTGTGCACGCCTCAGTCTTAATTGCAAAATCATTCACCGTGCCTACTACACAAAGTGTAAACTTTCAAAAGTATACCCTGATGTTGATGAGGTGTGTGATCGATGTAAAAGTGAGAAAGCAGACTTTTTTCATATGTTTTAAGCTTGCCAAAAGCTGAGTGACTATTGGGCACTAATATTTAAAACACTAAATGATGCCTTTAATTTAGAAATAAAACCCAGTGTTGAAATTGCTATTTTTGGTGTACCAGAATGCACAATATCATTGACAATCAAGTTAAAAAATTTTATCGTTTTTATTTTTACTTGAGTGGAAATCAACAATCCCACCTAAAGCTTCAATGTGGATGTGTAATCTGGTTTTGTATTTGAAATGAGAAAAATATATATATTTAATGAAAGGATCTGTCCAAAGAAAAGAGACATGGCAACCTATGATCACATATTTTGAAAAGATGAAGACTCTCCCCTCCTTAGCTGATCATTAAAAAGAGATTTGTGGAAACTGGTTTAAACGTGATCACCCATGTTGTTTGGTTTTATATTTATGTAAAGACCACTATGAATGCGTCAGAGTATTGAATTGTATTATTGTCTAGGCAATTGTTTATTTATTTATTTTTATTATTTCTTTAATTATATTGTTCATCTGTGAATGTGTACAATATTGTCAAGTTTATCTTGTATTTTTATTTTTCTTCCTAAATTGCCTATTCTTATTGTTGTTGTAATTTTATTTTATTTTGTTTAATTATTTTGGCGGTAAGGGTCATCATGGGGGAAAAGTTATAACCTTAACTGTATAAAGTGTTCTGTTAAAGCTTGGGAGAAAAAATTATAAATAAATACAAATAAAAAAAATTACGTTCGATGATACCTGCAAAAAAAAAAAAAAAGATTTTTTTCTTTTTCGCTTTCCCCTAGATGTCAATCGCCCACATAGCAGCCCGTGACATCACAGCCTTTTAAACTCAGAAACAGATGAGAGCATGAGAGCATTCTGTGTATGTGAGTGGGCTGAAATGGCATCAATATGCAGCTTGTGATTCAGCAGACTTTGCATATACAAAATACAATTTCAATAGACATGGCACATAAACTCATATACACAAACGCAGACATAAAACAGAGCCAGACCTGAATCCTTAAATGGGATTGGAGGAATCAAGCTGAACTTTCACACAGATAACCAGGGAGGGAGAGAAAGTAAGACAGGGATGGAAAGTGTGCCACACATCCGCAAGAAATAAACAACATAAAGAGAAGGAAAATTAGAAAGCACAGGAGGAACAGCTCTCAGTGGATATACAGCACAAAAAAAGAAAACTATAGAAGGAAAGAGAGAACAAATAGAAGACGCAGATATCTCAGGGAAGCATAGATAAACACAGAAAGAGATTAAGAGCATGGGTCACAGAGCACAGAAAGATTTATTAGCACTTACATAAAGGCCTGAAATATTTTGATTTGATTTTCTTTCAGGTGACAGTAGTGAAGCTGCAGCTCTGACTAAGCCAAGCAGGCATACTATGCAATTTGGTCTAAGAAAGTGACTCACTCACTCACACAACCACACACACAAAACCTTCCCAAAATTTCTCATCATCCACTCTAACATACATCACTCTGACCAATTAGTCTTGCATGCATAATCATGCTAGCTGTCTTATCCCATAATAAGACTAGGAGTGTCTGCATTTCATCATTGCAAATTCTCATTAAACCCATGCTGCTAAATATATTTGAACATAGTATAAATTTACGTCAGCAAGAGACAAAATATTTTAGTTTATGTATTGTAAAATCAAAATAAATTAGTTTGTGTAATCATTCCATTTCATCTTCTCAGGAAATGAATATAAAGTTTGTTTACCCCATGCATTACAACAAATCAAGTGAATAGCACAATAAAAACCATGCTTTCAGCAACTGAATACAGTACATGTACATTTTGAGTGCTCACAAAATCATTCGTTGTAGTAGTATCATTATTTTTGTCAGCTGCCAACAAATCACTGACAAAATCTCATATTCAATGCTATTAGCATTGTTAGAGATACAATAATTATGCGAGTGCTTTGGTTATGCAAAAAATATTTTTATATTTCATGAATCAGGATAGATAGACAGACAGACAGACAGACAGACAGACAGACAGATGGACAGATAGATAGATAGATAGATAGATAGATAGATAGATAGATAGATAGATAGATAGATAGATAGATAGATACATAGATAGATACATAGATAGATAGATGCTTGCATGTTGTGGAAAAGCGAAGTATTTCTTTCGTCCATATAATATGTCAGTAGGCCTACAGTTTCATATGGTCTGATGACAAATACAACTGACCGCAAAGAAACACGGTTGCTGCAGGAGAGATGCCGTGTCTTACCTGTCCCGTCGCGGTCTTGTCCGTCTCGAAAGCGGCTAGAGTTCCTCATCATCCAGGTTCTAATAAAGAGCAGCGCGGCTAACGTGTTCAGACACGGGCTGTGTAGAAGAGCTTGTGCTTGTCCCCGTTGGTTCGTGGAAACATTATTTAGAAGCGCACCGGTTCGCGGTGCTTTTAAATACAGGATTTGCGTGTAACAAACGCGCGTCTAAAAACAGCCACATGGGAGTCCCAGACTTCAGAGAAACGGATTGAGGGCAGAGTAACGCCTATAACACTCGCTCTCATTATGTAATGCCAGATGATTTGCTTTTCAAGGATAGATTAATTAAAATGAGCTGTGGATAATGGAGAAGTACAGTGACAACATGTCTCTCTCCCTTTCTACACCCACTTATTCTTCTAATCCACTTACAGTAACTGTAGGCTACTGTACATACTGTTGATCTAATCTTGTAAATGTACATTCATTAACAGTAATGCACACGCAATGGGTCAACTTAAAATCAAAAACCCAAGGGCAGAATGTGATGATAATCCTGTCATTTTTTGTTATCATTTATCAGTGAGGGACAAAACATGAAAGCTGCTTTATCAGTCACTATCACGCAAAACATGATACATTTTGTGCTGTCATTGACTAACACTGTTATCAAACCTCAAGCAAAACATTTTACTGATTGTACCTATGAAAATGGAGTATGATAAATAGTATCCAAAAATATCTGGATAGTTAAGCCACACCTAAAATGTGTGAATGTCATTGTATTATATAAAATATCAAACCAACTGTCAATTATTTTTAAAGGCATACTCCACCAAAAAATAAAACATCTGTCATCATTTATTCCCCCTCCTGTTGTTCTAATCCAAAACTGTATGACTTCTTTCTTCTGCAGCATATAAAATATTATGAAGAATGTTGGGAACCAAACAACACTGAAACAACATTTCTCAAAATATATTTTATGTAAGTCATGCATTTTTGGATTGACAATGTAAATGATGCCAGAATTTTCATTTTTGGCAGGAATATCCATTTACAACATAACACAGTACACTTTCAAGCAAAACATTTCACAAAAATGAATTTATTTAGGTATTAAATTCTAAAACAATAGATATACTGTTCAAAATTAAGACAAAGTATTTGGACATTTGATTGTCCAACATAATAAAATGCATCGTAGGAACAAAATACTATACTAAGTATAAGTGAAATTATTCGGAGAAGATTCATCATTATTTGGTTTGATATTTTTTTTCAGAAATGGTCTGAGCCACTGTTATGTTTTTATTAGTTTTGATTATATCATTTGATTATATCATTAAACATTCTTTTAAAAAGTCTATAGTTGTTCTGCAGAAATTCCTATGATATAGGCTAGTTAATAAAGAAATATATATTCCATGTGGAAGTGTTTGTGTGGGGTGACCACATCCTGCTGTTAGTCAGTCATAAAGTCCCATCTGATGGAAAGGATGGAAGTTTTAAAGGTAGTCATCATAGCCAGATTCATCCCCGATGCCAGCTGCAAATATAGAAACATGTCTGACATATTTAGTATTCCTTAAGGAGAAAACTGAGTTGAACTACATTTAGACAGAGGAGTTACCATTATAATGAAAATGTTGCTTCATTCCAGCCGAGTAGGGATCTTTAATCTACAACAAACACATTCAGATATAATTACATTAAACAGGTTTTTACAAACATTTCTGTATTTCATACAATATAAGAGCACAAACTTACAGCTGAACTTGGAGGGGCTGCAGGGGCCTGGTAAGATGGAGGGGGTGGCACCCATGGTGGTTTGGGAATAGTGGAGTCAAAGTTTTGCATGCTAGCATTGGGATTCAACTTCAACGTGGCTATTCTGGCATGAATGGGAATAGGTGGGAGGAGCCCTTTCCTCTGGGCGAGCGATGTAGACTCTTGTGATGAGTCATGTGATTGGCTGGACATTGTGCTAGCAACTGTTGGTTTGCTCTCTGGAAATGCTGCATCTGAATCAAGACAGTGTGGAACTCTGGATGCACTTCTAAGGGAAAACCTATGGCCAGAATTAAACAAACAAAAAACACAAATAATCAGAATCCAACTAGCCTGAAGTAGTATTTTCTTGTAAAACATACTCTAAAAAGCATTGTTTTATTTACAACTTAAAAAATATATATATATATTTTTTTTTACAGTGTAATAAGATGTTGATTTCAGCACAGAGTGTCCCAGTTTTACCTCTCACCTCTTGTGCACTTCATTTCCTCTAAGACAATCGTCAAGTTTTTCTTTCCAGTCAGAAACAGCCCCCACACTGTATCTGCGTGTAAGTCCTGAGTGAGATGCTAGAAAAGAGAGAAACATTCATTGGCACAATGTTCATTATTTTCATGCGATTTGCAGGGAGTATTCAGAGTGTCAGACCTTTGTTGTCACTGATCTGCTTCTGCACAGCAATGTAGAACTGCTTGGCTTCATCTTCATCCGCAAAGTTTATTCCTATCTGACATTCCTGCATGCACACACATGGTTTTTATCTGGATGAGGACTTTTCATCGACTTCTAATGCGTTTCGTTGAGCTAATGATATTTTATATCCCCTAAGCCCTAAACCTCAACCTTACAAAAACGTTATTGCATTTTTTAGTCAATTGTGAGATTTAATATGATTGGTTGATCTCCATAATGAGGGCAAATCTTGATCCACATGCACTTATGGATGCATGGATGCACATAAACACGCTTGCACACATACATGCAATGCAATGGAATTGTCACTCACATCACCAGGGAAGGTGTGGAAATAAGGACAAGTTTCTGAGTACCCAAATGGTGTATACAGCTCCTGTTCCCATTGCAGCTTGGCTCTCTGCAAAGAGAAAGAGAAATACCATGGTCACACAGCAGTGAAGACATGGGCTAAAAATCTAAAGCAGAACCACTGCACATGAACTAGTGGTGGAAATGGGTCAAAAAAACAATATAAACTTTGTAGAAGAGCTTTCTGAGAATGTGCAGAATAAATAAATGAAGCAAAGGAGTAATCCCATTAAAATGATAGTGTGAAATATATAAAAGCATATTGTGTGTATTGATATTTGCATACAATTTAAAGAGAAAAACACAAATCATATAACTGTTTTAATGAGTTCATAATTTTTTCCTGAAACTGCTTCTGCTGATTCCAAGAAATTCTGATTCGAAGGAAAAATGCTCTTTCTGTAATACCTGTTAGCCTCACCTTAAGACAGTAGAGTCTCATGAATGTTGAATGTACAGATTTATCTTGCATCAGACATAAAACTCCAAAACTGTGACTTTTCCACTCCTTTTTCTGTGGAGGGGCTGCCATTACCAGCTCGACAATACCACATGCTAAAACCTGTAATGTACACACACACACACACACACAAACAAAACATATACAGTGTGTCTGTAAATGTATACTTTGAGTGTATGTGCATAAGTGCATATTCACAGACACACAATATAATTTTTTTTTAATTAATACACATTTAACAACAAATATCCAGCCTCACTGCAGACAGTGCAGTCAGTGGTGTGGTTGTACAATGTCTTTTTGTCTGTACATATATGCAGTTTTGTCTGAAATATTCCGTTTGCATAAATTTGCATAGTTGAAAAACAATTGTGTCTGTCCTATGACTGAACTCTGCAGCTCTATGTCTGTGAATCATTAAAATAACCACTGTTTTCTGTCTACAAACCAGAAAAACCAGTGGTCAGTGGTTAGGATCAGGTTGTTTATTCCAGATTTTTAAAAAAAAGTTCATGGAAAGAGCACACAATACACATCAATACACACCAGCCAAGTGTTTGGATGTCCCAGTCACTGTTATTCTAGTATTATTCAGATACTATTATAGATTTTTGTTTTTCGATTTTGAGTTTTCATTTTAATTTCAGTTAAAATTTTACTAATTTTGTTGTTTTTGTCATTTTTATTTGTTTGTTGAAATTTGTCTATATATATTTTAAATCTCCTTTTTAGTTGTAGTTATTTTTGAACATCAAGTTAAATTAAATAAAAATGAGAAATGTTGCCTTGACAATTAGCTGAAATAAAATGTATAAAAACTAAAAACTTATTTCATAGAATGACATACATCTCAAACAACACAGACTCTAATAACAGTGAATTATGGAAGTGCAATAACAGTAATTCTTGTACACAGTATGCTTTATTGTAAAAATAAGTATGGTATTTAGATCCGGTGATATATAACAAAACAAATAGGATTAAGGGATGAGGAAAAAGATTTTAAAAAGTGAACTCACACAGTCATGGCTTAGTAAACTGAAGAGAAGACCGTTCTCACGAGTCGACAGAAGTGAACTCAAAATTCGTGACATCTCTTCGTCCTCTATCTTTGCTGCCTCTCTGCTACAGTGTGCTCTTTCTGTTTTCTCAATTCACAGATGTCCTGATCTATATCATCAAACAAATCACTCTGCTTTATACTTCCTAATGCAAATACCCTGGTATCAGGAACACAGAAAACAGGGCTCTATTCACACAACACACACAAGCTATTTGTACATTCACACTTCATACTGTAAAAAAAAGAAATTTTTGTAATAATATAATATTTATTGAAATCAACCATGACTGCTTTAGTTCACTCTGTCACAGATGAGAATATGTTGAGTGACAAAACAAAGCCTGTGCAGCTAAAAATATCAGCGCACCAATTACTTCAACGTTGCATGCAAACTAATGGTAGAAATGTGCTTTTTTAGAAAGTCAGAACAACAATATCCCATTTAATACAGACATTCAATATGGTAAAATATATTCTAGAGGGTGTACATTTTGCAAGCTTCTATGTCTCCAGAGGTTGAGTATCCTAAATGATTTACAAGCCAGTGGCCAGGACTTGGCAAAACAGTAGTTTGGATACGCTGAAATAAAACCATTGCAGGAGAGTTTGTCATTACAGGCAGGAACAAGCGCACATGATCTTCCCTTCCAGGCCAGAAAGCATTAGGGTCCACCCAGCAAACCGGCTGCTTCTTCCTACAACAAATATACAGACATAACCAAATTCAAACATTCTTATTCTGTAAGATTTTTTTATATCTTTGAAAGAATTTATCTGAAAGCATTTATTTGATCAAAAGTAAAATTGTGAAATATTATTGCAATTATTTAAAATAATAATTTTTAAAGTCCCCATGAAATCAAAATTAAAGTTTTTTGGGTGTTAGTATTAATATGGTAGTCTTAAGGTTATCTATAAGGCAGTGTGCTCCAAAATCGCATTTAGAAGATATAAGCATTCAAAGCTTGCAGTTCGTCACTTCCGCCAAAACGGCTCAACGATTTTTTTTGACGTCACATCCTACTTCAGCTTCTCATCAAACTTTCTGTCCAATCAAATGCTCTCTAGAATCCGAAGCGCCTGCCCCCTACACTACAAAATAGACGCTGAAGCCGCGGCTGAAATCGGTCACTTGTCCACAGAATTGGTATTTTCTGTACAGTGAATGGCACGTAGTGCACTATATAGGGGACAGGGAACGATTCAAACAGTGTAAATATGCTTTCCATTGAGGAAAAAAATAAGTCTGGTTTCAGGCTAACCACCGCACCGCACACAGACCACAAAATGTATGGGAGCTATTTGAATTCTACACAGAATGCTGTATTTTATAGCAATATGGATGAGATTGTGACTGGCATACCCTGTCAAATGTGGCTTTACGGAGCTCAACGGCTCTGAACGGCTCTAGCCCAAGCTGTGATATAAACAAACGCTATTGGCTATTTTAAAAATGCCTTCCTGTTTCAGTTAAAATGACGTCAACACAGAGTAACGCTGCATGTTTCTAAGCATTTCAGGGGACCTTTAAATGTATTTTATTCCTATGATGGCAAAGCTGAATTTTCAGCAGGCATTACTCCACTCTTCGCTGCTAGATGATCCTTTAGAAATAATTTGATTTGGTCTATTCAGAACAAACAAAGTCTATTGAAACGATCCACTTCTCTGCCCATAGGGCCACATTTAGAGAAGAAGGGTAAGAGGTCTTGGTGGCTGGCAGAACTCCCCGCATGATCGCTAACACCTCCACATCCTGCATGCCCTCCTAGAAATGTTTACATTCAAAGAGCTCGACTGGATATGTAGCATAATTCAACAGACATAATTTGATCATGTAATTAGCATAAATTATATTCAAAAACTATTAAGGATTATAATTTTGTGATAATAATTATAGTTTTTATTAAAAAAAGTACTTTGGTAGGAACATGGTACTCTCCGACAGTAATACAGTGGTACCTTGATATTTGTTTTTATATGTTTATGTGTTGCTGTACCTGGTCATCTTTCTCCTCTCCATGTATTGTAAGATAATGTCTCGACTCAATCCTTTTCTCAGTCTGCATGCCAATAACCTAAACATAAATATGCAATACCTTATGATGTTACACACTGAAAATGTGTTTATGTAGTATGTTGGACTAGTTTAAGTGTTTATGTAGTTTATAAAACCTTACTTGTATCACACTTGACGTGTTCATTGTTTGCTCATAACCGGAGTCAATAATCATGCAGATTTACGTTACAAGCTTATAGAATTGTACAGTAAGAAAGTTATTTCCCTTAACCAGGAAATTAACGTTCTTAGAATTGACAAGACAGTTGACCCTGAGTGGTCAGCTAAATATCTACAGTGGATCTAAAATATGAATAGTTAATTATAACTAGTTATGGTTAATTATTCATATTTCCCCATGAGCTGATTCGCTACACAATTAATGTTCATAATCACACCTTTGCACTTGGACAAGTTTTTGTCCCTATCTTTACCCCCAGACCATACCTGGGTTTGATTGCTGTTCTTCATTTTCCTGATGCTTTCTGCTCCAGGCCTGAATACCAGCAGCCAGGTCTTCCACAGTTACTGAGTTTCCATCCTTACTATTCAAAGAGGACATCAGCACATTCAACCGCTCAGGTTGTATGAAGAAGCCTTCCTACAAACAAACCAAAACATATACATTCTGTTTGTTTCGACAATGTTCTTAATCGCAAGAGTTTTTTTGCACACGTCAGCATGACATCAGAGCAAGTCGGAGGTAACTCGGACACTTTTCTATAGGGATGGGCGATACCCCTTATTTTGTTTTCGATACGATACCGATATTTTTCAAGGCAGTATCGTCGATATCGATACTGATTCGATACTTCTGCACTAAACTTTTAAATTATGAAATGTATTAAATTATTAAATTACTAAGAGTAAAATGGGTAATGAAAACCACTTAACTTTATGTTTAAAACGCATTTTAACCCGTTTAATCCCAAATTTATCCAAATGATGCGTCATTAGTAACCCTTTGAAATAATCAATAAATTTTTTTTTTTTGGAAAAGTGTGTGAAAAATTGTATTTTATGGTCAGTCACAATTGTAACCGGTGGGATAATGTGTATACTGAATTAACATATTTTTACAGTCTTAAACATTGTTATATATCTTAGCACAGCTATTTGAAATTGTCTGATCACATTCTAGGGTTACTGTTATGCATAAAAAACCCTTATACCACATTGATAGCAATACTGAGATCAAATACAAAAAAATACAACCATCAACGTATTTCAAAATTGTTACTTTTTTGTAACATATATCATCACATTTTTATATTAGTGCTACCAGTATTACAACATTAATATTCTAACTTATTTGTAACTTTTGAACATATTATTATTGTTGTTAAATAAACAAAACCACTGGTAAATAAAACGCACCTTAGTATCGATATTTTTTGTTTGAGTATCGATACTTTCAATACTCGCGTCAGTATCGATATATCTATACTTCGGATCGATACGCCCATCCCTACTTTTCTAACCGGCATGCATCTCGCGGTGATCGGTTCTGCGCAGAATTTGCTCATCTCAAACAAGCTCATTCATTTGGTCATGCCGCTTTCAACCCACGTTTTTAAATCAAATATCATGACGTAATAAACAGTAGACCAGGACCCCAAGGAACTATGACGTCAGAACCAGGAAGTGTAATTTTTTTGATTGAATCACTCAAATTCAACACTTTACAGTAGCCAGGGGGTGAAGGAAGTGTAATTACTCTTCCGGATTCTGACGTCATAGTCCCCCCACTCTATTTTTTTGCCTCTCAGAAAATAATAAACCCACCATTCTTTAAAGTGTGCGCTTTTGAAAAGCATTTTAGCATAATTCTTGTGAGCTTATAGAACTCAGGAAATGAATCGAACAGTACTGTTTAAAATTAGCGACTTAAGTCATGAACACTCAAGTTAGGAACATCCTTGAACTAATTTCAGAATAGGGGAAAGCCATAGACAATATTATACATCAGTTTTCTGAAATATGGTATTTCCTTTCTAGTTAAACATAGCCAACACAATTCAAAGGACTTGTGAAGTGTAACTAGGATTTACACAAGACTGCACAAAAAAATCTCAAATTTGACCATGTCATATGTGAAAGGAAAGAAACTGAGCCATGTTTACGTTCACAAAAAGATTTTGTTTATAGTTTGTATTATTAAAAGCCCAGTAAGCCATGTTCACAAATAAAACAATCTTACCTCCCAAAAAAAAATTTTTTATTGAGAAGTATCAGTCTTTGCTAAATATTTGTTTGGAACATTTCTTTTTTCATAGTTCAAAGAAAAAGAGGAAAGATTTATTTTACATGTTTGCGCACTGAATTAAATGTCATATATACAGACACACAATGATACAGTAAAAAGGGCTTAATTTTGAAAGTAAACAGACTTCAGGTGTAACCAGTGCTGTCTGCCACTAAGCTATCACTAAAGACCAAGTACTTTCAAAAACAGAAAATCCTTGAAGCCTACTGTGTAAGATGTATTCTGTACAAAAGTATTCCAGCGTAAATGAATGCACACGCACAAAAAACCACGCCATTGGTACCACACTGTGTTGCATTTCCACTGACAACTAAGACACAATCTGTATTGTTAAAAGCGCTATATAAATAAAGGTGGCTTGACAACTGTCAAGCTATTCTGCTGACTGGAAACCAAACCCCTCTGTTTGGTTTTCAGATCCCATTTTATGATTAAATACAGTATGAGGAGTTAGAGTGAGCCTAACACTAAATGACAGCTATTATTGGGGGAAAAAAAACACCTGTCAGCTTCACATTCAAGACCGATACGACAAACTGAGACATAACTCAGACAGTTTGTGTGTGTGGAAACAAACTTGGCAGTGACGAGTAAGTTAATCACTCAACATTAGCAATACTTTCTGAAAAATCCTTTTAACTGGCATAACTTGAATCAGACAAGAAATAAACATAAGGGTGAATGAAGGGATTCAGTGACACATGGAGACAGAGGAAGGACAGACTGAGAAGGGAAAACTCCTGAATATTCCTAGTCAGAGCTCACAGAGTCCATCTTTACTGTCCCATCACTGAATTTTAGAAACGTTTTACCACTTCTGACAAAAAGGAGAAAATGCTCAGCTGGAACTAACGACTAAGAACACGTTCTCCCAAGACAGCCCTCGTGACTGACCATTTTGAATGCTCAAATCATACAGAAATAAAAATAAAATGACAACAACAATCATAAAAATAATAAAAGTGTTTTATAAGGTATGCGTGCGATATGTGAGTGTCCTCGTTTAGAAAAGTAGCGCTCCCATGCTGCCAACTTCACTCTGTTCCTTAACAAATATTTCAAAGTACTGATAGATGATGGTAACAGCCAATAGGATTCCTGTTCCAGAGCCGATGGCACCCAGGAAGTCAGCCATTACTGAAAGGCCTCCGATACACAGTCCACCAAATGCAGCCGCTGTGGGGATGTACCTGAGTAACAGACAAAGTGTGAGATTAATAAAGGTCCTCGCAAGCATTAAAAAAAAAAAAAAAAAAGCAGAGTAAAAATATTTTTAAAACGTACACCGTTCAAACTAGGCTGCTTATGTTGAAGTGTTTGGGATGTGGCTTTTAATGATGAGACCTTTTTTGTAATCAGGCTCTCAAAAAGTATATAACAATTTGGATATAGATTTATCGGCCAACATATCGGTTATCGGCTTTCAAAAATAAAGAATAATCGGTTATCGGTCAAAATGTTCATATCGGTGCATCCCTATTATTCATGAACTGCCAAGTAATTATCAAGTTAAACACAGAATTGCATTCCATTAACTAGCATGCCTGTTTTGCTAGACTCTGTAGCATTTGACAACTTCCTTCTAGTCTGGCAATCCAACAAAATACTAAATAAGTTGTTCTCCCAGTACTAGCTATTAAATACTTTAAAACAAATATCTTAAGTATTCGTTTACAATTTTGTAGTAATACAAAGTGTTGCCGACGTGTTAAGAAAGTAGCTAACAGGCTAACGCTAGCTGTCCGAAGCATTCAATCATTAGCCACCAGAAAAACACTGCAAATGTGAATTCACATACGTAAAAACAACTGACGAACCAAACAAAGAAACTAAAGAGGAACTGAAATGCATTTTAATTGCAGTAAAGTACAGAACTAAACAAATAAAAATTAAGTAAATAAATCTTACATCAGCCTCTCAGGTTTCAATCAAAGAAAGCAGTCTGGCTAGCATGCTAATGGTGCCAACAGAACTCTAGTGTGATATAACTCTGTTAAACACTCGAGAAACGGTTCAAAATATTACACTCACTCGCCATGGTGACGGTCCCCTGAAATCACGGTCACTATCTGAAGTCCCAGTGAGCTATAAACAGCTAGTCCAACGCTACCGGTGCGCTCCGCCGCCCGGGTGAGAGAGAAAGAGAGAAGCGACAGAGCTGAAGGGAGGAGAGCGCTTTAGAGACACGTCAACACTACACCTACTCTACTACACGCCAGATGAACAGCGAGCCGCGGTTGATCTTCTGTTTCGCGTCATGTAATTTGATCAAGTGGCCAAAGTGTGACTCGTTAGGTTCATTTCTTACAAATGTTTCCAAGCACGCCACTTCGATTTTACTGTCGTTATGTACAACGTGAAAGTGACGTGTAGACGTTAAAAAAAATATATAAGCGTAAAGAAAGATATAATCGTGTTAAAATTAACTCTGCTTACCGTTTCTCTGTTCCATAATATATTTCTCAAACTGACAGAAGGCTCCCGGTACTTAGCAAATAAATGTTTGTCTAGTATTTTCTGTCATTACTCAAGGGTGGATGTTCACTCACTGAGCTTCACATTGCAAGAGTTGGTTATGTTTTATTAAGAGGTAATGTTTGGAAGGACAGACTGAGAAGGGAAAACTCCTGAATATTCCTAGTCAGAGCTCACAGAGTCCATCTTTACTGTCCCATCACTGAATTTTAGAAACGTTTTACCACTTCTGACAAAAAGGAGAAAATGCTCAGCTGGAACTAACGACTAAGAACACGTTCTCCCAAGACAGCCCTCGTGACAGACCATTTTGAATGCTCAAATCATACAGAAATAAAAATAAAATGACAACAACAATCATAAAATAATAAAAGTGTTTTATAAGGTGTCAGCAAGTATGCGTGCGATATGCGAGTGTCCACCGCCTACAGGGTAGGCACGAGCCGGACCACTGGATGAGGAATCCTACAGCAACAGCAACAGAAAATATGCTATTAGGAAGGTTTTCCCTTCCATATCTAGTTCTATTTGGTTTCTGGTCTGCATCCAATAAAACAAGCTCTGGATTTGCAATATAAAATTTAGTGGAAGACGACAAGCACTGGTGACACTTACAGACCAAGTCCCCAGGAGGTTGACCAGGAAATTCCCACTGAAGCGGGTGGAGAGCATCTGCGAGATGACGATTATTCATGAACTGCCAAGTAATTATCAAGTTAAACACAGAATTGCATTCCATTAACTAGCATGCCTGTTTTGCTAGACTCTGTAGCATTTGACAACTTCCTTCTAGTCTGGCAATCCAACAAAATACTAAATAAGTTGTTCTCCCAGTACTAGCTATTAAATACTTTAAAACAAATATCTTAAGTATTCGTTTACAATTTTGTAGTAATACAAAGTGTTGCCGACGTGTTAAGAAAGTAGCTAACAGGCTAACGCTAGCTGTCCGAAGCATTCAATCATTAGCCACCAGAAAAACACTGCAAATGTGAATTCACATACGTAAAAACAACTGACGAACCAAACAAAGAAACTAAAGAGGAACTGAAATGCATTTTAATTGCAGTAAAGTACAGAACTAAACAAATAAAAACTAAGTAAATGAATCTTACATCAGCCTCTCAGGTTTCAATCAAAGAAAGCAGTCTGGCTAGCATGCTAATGGTGCCAACAGAACTCTAGTGTGATATAACTCTGTTAAACACTCGAGAAACGATTCAAAATATTACACTCACTCGCCATGGTGACGGTCCCCTGAAATCACGGTCACTATCTGAAGTCCCAGTGAGCTATAAACAGCTAGTCCAGCGCTACCGGTGCGCTCCGCCGCCCGGGTGAGAGAGAAAGAGAGAAGCGACAGAGCTGAAGGGAGGAGAGCGCTTTAGAGACACGTCAACACTACACCTACTCTACTACACGCCAGATGAACAGCGAGCCGCGGTTGATCTTCTGTTTCGCGTCATGTAATTTGATCAAGTGGCCAAAGTGTGACTCGTTAGGTTCATTTCTTACAAATGTTTCCAAGCACGCCACTTCGATTTTACTGTCGTTATGTACAACGTGAAAGTGACGTGTAGACGTTAAAAAATATATATAATATAAGCGTAAAGAAAGATATAATCATGTTAAAATTAACTCTGCTTACCGTTAAAGTGGTTAATATAGTATTTATGATTTATGAGTATTTATTTTCATGTAATGTAATGAGGTTTTATTATTATAGTAAAATCACTAGCCGCTCACGTTTAATGAAGAAAGTTGAAAGTGGGAACTAAAAACAATCAAATAAATACAATATACTTCCGGGTAAAATCGGCTTATGCTTTCATCTATCCAAATGGAATGGGCCGCTTGTGACGTTTGAATAATTTATGTGGTCTGTGATAAATTATTGTCCACATTAGTTATTGTAAAAACAAATTCTGCTCTTGTACAGTTGATTATAGTTAAGCAGCGTAGACAGATTCTTAAATGTCATCAGGTCTGCCATCAGGTCCTGTTTTCAGCTGTTATGTTGACATGTGGAGGCTTCATTTACTCATTATATCATTACCCAAAATATAAAAATAAGTAAAACAAATGACCTTCAGTTAATCACAGATATTGCCTTCCTTACTTTCATAGGCCAAATTAGAAGAATTCCGAGTCATACCTTCCAATATATTTAATGATGTTAAATTAATTAAAAAACAATTAAATTAAACGTTCTTTTTTGGCCAGTGGGTGTCATAGAACCATTAGTTAAAAGTTAAAATAAATTAATGTTTCTCTGTTCCATAATTTATTTCTCAAACCGACAGAGGGCTCCCGGTATTTTCTGTCATTACTGGTTCAAAATATTACACTCACTCGCCATGGTGACGGTCCCCTGAAATCACGGTCACTATCTGAAGTCCCAGTGAGCTATAAACAGCTAGTCCAACGCTACCGGTGCGCTCCGCCGCCCGGGTGAGAGAGAAAGAGAGAAGCGACAGAGCTGAAGGGAGGAGAGCGCTTTAGAGACACGTCAACACTACACCTACTCTACTACACGCCAGATGAACAGCGAGCCGCGGTTGATCTTCTGTTTCGCGTCATGTAATTTGATCAAGTGGCCAAAGTGTGACTCGTTAGGTTCATTTCTTACAAATGTTTCCAAGCACGCCACTTCGATTTTACTGTCGTTATGTACAACGTGAAAGTGACGTGTAGACGTTAAAAAATATATATAATATAAGCGTAAAGAAAGATATAATCATGTTAAAATTAACTCTGCTTACCGTTAAAGTGGTTAATATAGTATTTATGATTTATGAGTATTTATTTTCATGTAATGTAATGAGGTTTTATTATTATAGTAAAATCACTAGCCGCTCACGTTTAATGAAGAAAGTTGAAAGTGGGAACTAAAAACAATCAAATAAATACAATATACTTCCGGGTAAAATCGGCTTATGCTTTGATCTATCCAAATGGAATGGGCCGCTTGTGACGTTTGAATAATTTATGTGGTCTGTGATAAATTATTGTCCACATTAGTTATTGTAAAAACTAATTCTGCTCTTGTACAGTTGATTATAGTTAAGCAGCGTAGACAGATTCTTAAATGTCATCAGGTCTGCCATCAGGTCCTGTTTTCAGCTGTTATGTTGACATGTGGAGGCTTCATTTACTCATTATATCATTACCCAAAATATAAAAATAAGTAAAACAAATGACCTTCAGTTAATCACAGATATTGCCTTCCTTACTTTCATAGGCCAAATTAGAAGAATTCCGAGTCATACCTTCCAATATATTTAATGATGTTAAATTAATTAAAAAACAATTAAATTAAACGTTCTTTTTTGGCCAGTGGGTGTCATAGAACCATTAGTTAAAAGTTAAAATAAATTAATGTTTCTCTGTTCCATAATTTATTTCTCAAACCGACAGAGGGCTCCCGGTATTTTCTGTCATTACTCAAGGGTGGATGTTCACTCACTGAGCTTCACATTGCAAGAGTTGGTTATGTTTTATTAAGAGGTAATGTTTGCCCTTGGAATTGATTTCAGAAGCATTTTACCCGTATGATGCTTTTTCCCCCCTGCATGTATGTTCATTATCAATAAACATACATTTTCGAGCTGCTATTAAATCAAATTTAAAAATCAAAAAATTTCGCTCTGATTATACAGCTAACTACAATCAAAGCAGCTGATATCTGCAGAGGATCTAAACTCATTCTAAACCTATAGTTTGTTAGGCCTAAATTTAAATATTAAACACACACACACACATACACACACACATATATATATATATATATATATATATATATATATATATAACACAGGAAATCAATATGGTGCATTTTTTGCTACCATAATTTAAAATTCTCTGCTATTTCTTTCCTCATCTGTGGCATATTATGCTTAATTTCTGGCCCTAGTTATTATATTATGAAAACAGGGCCTGTTGTAAATATTATTTGCTTTTACTGATTAATAGACTGTGTTTGTGTGTAATTGTTGATGGTGTTTTGATGTGAAATTGATCCTAGAAATATATGATACATACTACTTTAGCAAGGAAAATTTGCTCTCACACATGCACATGATCTATTTTTGGAAACAGCCATGAGGATTTTATCCACTGCAATTCTGCACACTGCTTTCTGGCTGCATTTTCAGTACACACACACACAGACAGTGACTGCTGAACAGTGGACAGTTTTGTCCATTGCGGTTACATAAATTAATTTGCCCTTAGAGGACAACACGCCAACGTATCTGTCATTTCTGCATTACTTTTCCCTCTATTTTGTCTCTCTTTCACACAATCAGAATTGATCACATTCCACACGCTGACACATTAAATCACAGTGAAATTTAACATACCTGCCAGACAATGTCAGACTTTATTTGGTCAGCTCTACGGTCTTAAAATGTCTAAGGTCATTGAAAGATGTTGTCATCAGTATAGTCTCAGCCTGAAGTTCTCCATGGCAGACAGTGCTTTCTATGCATTGTGCTTTCTATAACATGCTTAAGTGTCACCTGCATTTGCATTTTCCAAAGAGGAGAGACCACAAATGATCAAAATGTTAAATCTGAGAGACTTATTTGTTCTACTGAGACCACTGTTAATTTCAGGTCACTCATTCATCTTATGCGACATTGAGAACGCAGTGTCAACAAAAATACTATGATAAACCGTTATTTCTCAGCCGGTAACTGAC